GCCTTATTCGGATTGTTGTACTTTGTATTGCAGTCGCGAAGTTTATCCACTGCGCTAGTCAAGCATGTAATGAATTGCTTGTCTTTCTTTCGGCGGAAGAGGGGTTGCGTCGATCCGTTTACTGCACCAACGCAAGTTCGCGTGGTACCGAGCCCCTGTGTTGGAAGCGGTTCTCATTAGATCCAAAATTGAAAATTTTGCACTTGCATCGTGTCGTAGGTATCGTCCAGGCATCATTGCGAGATGTCTTTGCAGTTAATGGTGACAGCTGCGACGACAGCTGTGCCGACCGGGCTTTGCATTATTTGGGATACATTTGGTACCAAACTCACGAAAATTTCGACTAAATTGGCCTCCAGCTTACTGTTTGAAGTACAGTTCACACTGAGTTATTCGATACCCAAAACGTCACCGAAAAATGTCAATTGTTGCAGCGAGCGCATCATGTTCAGCGTGCAACAAACTTCCTTTCGCCTTGGTTTGTTTCTATCTCGAGGACAGGACGTGATCTCCATGTCAAATGAAATACTCCGGTTCCCCGCAATCCATAAAAAGTGTAAAACACAATCGACCCAACAGCCTTGCCGTTGGAAAAATGCAGTTGGTTGCATTCCATAATATGGATATTATTTATCTCAATGTCATAACTTTACATACAAATCAGGTCACAGGTTGCGGCAACTTAAAAGCTATGACGTTTCTGGGATGCTTCAAAATGCTGGTAAAAATATCAATGGCGCAACAGTGCCGTCATGTACTCCGCCATAGGGCTTGTGCAATGCGATACAGCCACAGCGTTAGCACGGTGCGCCGCGGCGATCAACTTACCAGCTGCTGACATGGTTGGTCAATGTACACCACAAAGGTAAAATGGAACTCACTTAAATCTGAAGGCGATTGTTGGCTCCGTTGAAAATACCCAAGCATTGCCGTGACAGCGTTAGGGCTTTGTACTTCAAGCACATAACTGGTGTTTACGAATGTCCTAACTATGACTGGGAGAAAGCCTGGGCGATATCTTAGAATGTATCACAAATCAGGATGTATGATTTGTTAACGCCGTCAAAGTTGAAGAAAACATTGTATGTCTTGTATCGCGCCAGGCTGTATGTGGCTGTATCTTATATGCTGAGCGTCGTTTGAACATATCGTGACTGCTCAGCACCTTTCGGGCCATGGTGTGAACGTGTCTGCTGATTGCATTCCATTGCTGTGGCCGTGTCAGCAGATTGCCGTCCACAGCTGTGGCAGTGTCTGTTGAGCGCCGACCGTGGTTGTGGCCGTGTCAGCTGATTGCCGTCCGCAACTGTGGCCGTGTCTGCTGAGCGCCGTTCGTAGCTCTGGCCGTGTCAGCTGATTGCCGTCCGCAACTGTGGCCGTGTCTGCTGAGCGCCGTCCGTGTCTGTGGCCGTGTCTGCTGAGCATCTTCCGGTGCTGTGGCCGCCTCTGCTGAACGCTGTCCGTGGCTGTGGCCGTGGTCTGCTGAACGCTGTCCGTGGCTGTAGCCTTATCTGCTGAGCGCTGCCCGCGGCTGCGGCCGTGTCTGCTGAGCGCTGTCCGCGGCTCCTGTCGTGTCTGCTGAGCGCTGCCCCCGGCTGCGGCCGTGTCTACTGAACGCTGTCCGTGGCTGTAGCCTTATCTGCTGAGCGCTGCCCGCGGCTGCGGCCGTGTCTGCTGAGCGCTGTCCGCGGCTCCGGTCGTGTCTGCTGAGCGCCGTCCCTGACCGTTGCAGCCGTTGGAGCGATGCGGCTAGTGTGGGGCGCCACGGCGGCAGTGCTGCTGCTCTCAGCGGTCGCGGGGCTCAGTCAGAGCCGGTTGGACGGCCTGCAGAGCGAGCTCAAGAGTCGCAGCAAGCGCCAACTCTTCGGCGGCAGCAAGCGGAGACAGAACCAGAACCTGTTTCCCGGGAAGAATGGTAGGTGCTGTTAAGTCTTTTCTCTTCCGTGAGTTACCACTTGAGGAAGGCATGTACTCAGCGTATCTCGAAACGTAATTGTTTAGTGAGCTAACAGCAAAGCCTGCGGCAGGAAGTAGACATAGACACCACTGGTGCAGTCCTGAAAATCGATTAGACACAACCTATATCGGCAATCCATTCTGTACTCCGAGCCCATATAGCGGATGCTGCCTCCTTTCCTCTGGGTGCACGACGATACCGATGCTCAACAATCCGCTGTCCACGAGAAGCGATCACGTGTAACGGAACCCACCGGCTTCCGGGGCCGACCACCCCTCGCCAAATCACCGAAACTAAGCGGCGTTCTGTGCCGAAGGCTGGAACCGGCCACATGGCAAATGTCTCTCCAGCATGTTTAACGGTACTGTGAGACTCTATGAAATCATGACGAAACAGTCCGAATGACATGAGAAAGCTTGAAGACAAATAGCGGCTACGTACGCTATTTCCGGAGGGGTATTTTGGCAAGGCATCCGGACCTCCTCTTATCCGCCAGTGATTCCCCAGCGGCAGCCGGTTCACGCTTCCACGAGATGGCGCATGGTCCCCATATGACGTTCGACCTTATGGCGAGTTTGAACCATAATAACAGTTACGGTACAATATGTTGTCCTGCTTGTAATCAAGTCTATCGCTGCTTAATATTTATACTCACTACGTCGGCTTTCCAGATTCCTTAAGTGTTAAGCCACACGCGCACGTGTTCCTTGTTCTTATGCATGTAGGCGGTGGTCACAGGTTTCCCAGGTGCCGCTTTCCCGAGTGACGAGCCTCTCCCACAGCCGTCCGGGCATTGCCTGAGTGTATGGGATCCGTAACTGTGGGGCTTCCTTCCAGGTCCCAGCTTGATATACCAGGGCTTGTACATCCCGGATCCCCGCTTCAACTCGTTCGCCGATGGCATCATCACCAACATGGTGGCGGACATGCGGGCCTCCAGCCTGGACCCCGTCTACTTCCGGCTGAACAGCCGGGGAACCGTCACGTGCGTGATGTAGACAGCCGGGGCTCTGTCACACGAGTGATCTAAACGGCCGGGACTCCGGCACACAAGTGATCTAAACGGCCAGGGCTCTGTCATACGATTGATCTAAGCGGCCGGGGCTCTCTCACACGAGTGATCTTAACGGCCGGAGCTCTGTCACACGAGTGATCTAAACGGCCGGGGCTCTCTCACACGAGTGATCTAAACGGCCGGGGCTCTCTCACACGAGTGATCTAAACGGCCGGGGCTCTGTCACACGAGTGATCTAAACGGACCGGGGCACTGTCACACGATTGATCTAAGCGGCCGGGGCTCTCTCACACGAGTGATCTAAACGGCCGGGGCTCTCTCACGCGAGTGATCTAAACGGCCGGAGGGTCACGAGCGGTGAAAGTGGTCGGGATTCTGTGCCATAAGTCATTTTCATGATGGGCGTTCCGTCACGTAGGCTGGCAGCCTGCTTGCCTGGAGTCCGTGTGCCTGCCTGCCTGCCAGCCTGGACTTTGTCTACCCTGGCTCAAAACAGAGACTTCGTGAGAGACGTGAGCTATACGGACGAAACTCGCCAAACGCCATCCACGCTCGGTCATCCAGCTGATCGAAGCGGGTGAAGCCCGTTAAGCTCGTGACTTGAGCGACGTGGGTCGTCACGCATAGATGACTTAAACGGCTTAAGTCCCGTAACAGGGGTGGACAAAATGGCCCAGAATCCATGAGATAGGTAGTAGTTGACAGCCTGTGTGGAAAGATGCCCGCAGTTTTATCTCAGATGTTAGTTTTTGGACGCAGGTGCACTTATGTGAACGTTTGTCTAATGTTATGTTGGTAACCATCTAGATTTCATTGTGTACTATGAAGTAGATCGTTCCAGTAGACATGTTATGCATATCTTTATTTATTGATTGATTTTCTGGAACAGTTTCCACTGGTATCACAATCCCCTTCCACAGGCTGACGTCTTACAACTCCCCCCCCCCTCTCTCTCCTCTCTCTCTCTCTCTCCTCTCCTTCTCTCTCTCTCTCCTCTCCTCCTCTCTCTCTCTCCTCTCTCTCTTCTCCTCTCTCTCTCTCTCCTCTCTCTCTCCTCTCTCTCTTCTCTCTCTCTCTCTCTTCTCTCTCTCTCTCTCTCTCTCCTCTTCTCTCTCTCTCTCTCTCTCTCTCTCTCTCTCTCTCTCTCTCTCCTCTCTCTCTCTCTCTCTCTCTCTCTCTCTCTCTTTTCTCTCTCTCTTCTCTCTCTCTTTTCGGGGGAGGGAAGACAAGAAGCCCAGTAAGGCGTCGATATCGCCTCCCTCCGCTCGTTTTAACAGCTCGCCCTGTCCACCGCCAGGGCGCATGACACTCGCGGCCGAGACAACTCGGCCAACGCCGCCGGCATCAGCGCCGCAATGACCCCGAAAGCGCGCATGCTGTCTGACCCGGAGGCCATCCCCGGGGAGGAGCAGGGTGATGGCTTCGACGCTCCAGAAGAGACAGCCGCAGAGGAACGGCCCCGGCCGGGGGGCGCGCGCCGCGACAAACGGCAGTGAGTGCGGAGTTACGGGTGGACCCCGGTGTCCGACGCTCTGTGCGAGCTGTATTGAGACTTGCCCCCGATCACCTCGCCGAACTGCATTGAGACTGACCCCCGATCACCTCGCCGAACTGCACTGAGACTGACCCTCGATCACCCCGTCGAACTGTACTGAGACTCATCCCAATCACCTCGACGAAATGAACTGAGACTGACCCCCGATCACGCCATCGAACTGTTCTGAGACTGACCCCAACCAACGCGCCGGTGGATCTGCAGAGCCGTCAGACGCCCGGTTGACATGTATGACCCTGCTCCCCAGGCTGCCGCCGTCTCGCACCTACTCCACGGCTCTGCTGGAGGGTCTGACCAACATCAACAGGCGCGGCGATGTTGAGGTGCAGGTGGCCTCTAACGTCACCCTGGTGAGCTTCCGGCCGAGGCGTGTCTCCGTCAACCTACAATTCACATTCTGACTGCTCGGAAACGGGGAAAATATTGACATCCTTTTGAGTCTCGGCACCGCTTTTGATGCTGCCAGTATTGGTGCCAGTGCGAAGTGTGCTTTTAATCGTTGTGACTGGTTCAGTCACATTTTACTGACCAGTTTTCTACAGCAAAGCCTGCTGGGTTATTTGAAAATATTCTGTGGAAATGGGATGTCAAATGCACGCTTTCTTCACCGGCCATAATGGCGTAATGCCGACTTTCGACCTCGCCGGGATAGAGGTTACGCTGATGCACAATGTGACGTCACATCAGGACCCTCTCCCATTGGTCATACCCTGGCGGAGTGATCCGGCTGACCCGGGTCAAGGTAGGAGGGGGTCCCGGCAAGGAGTGGAGTTTGACCAATACACGGTGATAATCTCTATTCAGGTCCAGGTGAACGACTGCACTATATTCTATGGATGAAATAGTTCTTTGATGTCTGATTTTTACAGTACTTTTAAAAACTCGTGGCAATGTTTAAGGTGATATTAAACTTTTCAAAGTTTGATTTTATTATTTAAATTTAGTTCATCTAGTCTACAGCATCAACGATTGTCTCCAACACCATAAGGTTAATTTTTCTAGTCGCCTAAACGACGCAATTGTGTTCAAGGGCGCATCGAAGACTTTTCGGGAGTGCCCCGGAGCTCAGTGACAACGTATCACGCCGTCTTTTTTACTTTCTATGGAACTAAAATGACCTCCGAAATTTAAATGCAAGTGGAAAAAAGAAACCTAAATGACCTTAAAGTGAAAGTGGTCCATTGCATACCTGACGGATTTTCAACTTTCTGTTGAGAGCCATCTTTCATGAAAAAATAATAATGCGGGCTTGAGGGGAGGATCGCCCCTTCTTGGCTGCCCCCTGATTGTGTCTGCATGATATGCTAACGGTACGTTGGCATCCTTGCAGCCTTCACGTCCACGCCGGCAGCGTGTACTTGCGATCATGCGATGTGCCCGTAAGCTGCCCCTAAGAATGTAATAGCTGCAGACTACAGACAGTGAAGTGGTTTATTTCGTAGCACCGTTTCCTTTCCGCCAGATAGGTTCTCACATTTGCTATGTTATTACCCTCACCGGCTTTCCCTTGTCGTTATCCAGCCTTTTCTTTCATCGTCTTTAAATTATTAGTCATGGTTTTTCTCAGATTCCGACACCATGTATCCTACTCTTGCTTGCTCGCAGCCAGTTTGCATATTTTATCTCCGGACTTTTGTTTGTTACCTGCAA